CTTTTCTGACTTGGCAAGGGATCCGTCTCGCATTCTATTTCTATACCTTAGATTGGACCTAGGAAATGCATGACCACAAGAACATGTTTTCTTCTTACTTTTGGTCTGTACTCCAGGTAACGCCTTTGATTTGTTTTCTAGCTCTTTGAGCCGCTCTCAAAATTAAGATAGATCAAAACCACAAAAACTTTGTAAGAAACAAAGTTTCGTTTTGTCTTGTTAACTGAGATACCAATGTATTGCTCTAGAATCATTCGACGAAGCAACCGATCTTTACAGGTTTAAATCAAGTGTTCTGATACCTGAGAGCACCGGGAATCAAATCCCCCAGTCTTTGTCATCATATGCAATGGCCTCATTATCAAGTTTCGGTAAAGGTATGCTTTAGGGTATCAAGATACTGAAAGTATGACTCCATGCTCCTATTTATTCCAACTCAGTCTCAAGAAAGTTTAACCCTGTTATCTACAAATGCTAACAGATAACGAAAAATTTAAATTTCTGTGCTAGTTAAGTCTAGTTGAAGTTGAGGGGAAAATGGAGCTTTGTTCAGATTCCATGACGACCGTCCAACAGGTCTCAAAGCGGAAAGGAGGCCTTATTACCATGCCGTTTATCATAGGTAACGTCGAGTTTTAGAAATAAAACGTTTGTTTCCTTGCACACTTGCCTCAACAAGTTCCTGGACTATTTACTGGACGAACCTCGAGCAAGGATTTCTAATAAGTCGGTCATGTTTCCAAATGTGCAGCAAATGAGGCATTTGAGAGAGTTGCAAGTGTTGGCCTTCACATAAACATGATCTTGTACCTGACAGGCGAGTATCACTTCGATAATGCCACAGGTGCAAGCATTTTGTTTTGGTGGGCAGCCATTTCAAATTTCCTGCCTACCTTTGGAGCTTTTCTTTCTGATTCTTACTTGGGTAGATTTCGCGTGATTGCGCTCGGAACAGTTGTTAGCCTCCTTGTAAGAACATCTTTCAAGTATTCGACTGCTTCAACATTTCCCCTAGATTCAAGTTCATAATCTTAGCTCATAGAAGTAATTTTTTGGCCATTTCAGCCTTCAGGAATCTATTTTCAGATTTCCACTAAATGTTGCGGGAATTGTTTGTAGGGACAAGCTGCTTTGTGGTTAACAGCCTTACTTCCAGAAGCAAGGCCTCCTCATTGCCCGCACTATCCAGACAATTGTGCCAAACCAAACGCAGGCCAGCTTGCTCTCCTCTTTTCAGCTTTTGCACTGATGTCCATTGGAGCTGGAGGCATTAGGCCATGCTCTTTAGCCTTTGGGGCAGATCAATTTGATAACCCTGAGAACCCAAAAAATCAGAGAATCTTACAGAGCTTTTTCAACTGGTATTATGCTTCTGTGGCAATATCGGTCATCATTGCAATCATAGTCATAGTGTATATTCAAAATAAACTTGGGTGGGTTTTGGGATTTGGAGTTCCCGTGGCCCTCATGTTGGTTTCAACTATTACGTTTTTATTGGGTTCTAAACTATATGTCGTGGTCAAAGCGAACAAGAGCTTGATGACTGGTTTTGCTCAAGTATTAGTCGTGGCCTGGAAAAACAAACACCTAGCTTTGCCACCAAAAAATTCAGATGGAGGGTATCATCATGAGAAGGGGTCTAATCTCGTTTCTCCCACTGAAAAACTACGGTACAAAATTAGACATGAAAACTTACGCGTTGGTTATTAAAGTTTACGACATTGCATTCCATGAAAGATATATTAGTACATAGTTGTCATGGTGCTGTCGACAGCAACCTAACATGTATTTCTGTCTTATCCTTAGGTTCTTCAATAAAGCTTGCATTGCGAGAAACCTCGATGGAGGGTTGGAGGCTGACGGATCAATTTGGGATCCCTGGAAAGCCTGTACAGTTGAACAAGTAGAAAACTTGAAAGCCCTTATCAAAGTACTACCAATCTGGTCTACTAGCATCATGATTGCCGTAACTATTAGCCAGAATTCTTTCCCTTTGCTCCAAGCAGGCACCATGGATAGGCGCATAATTGGAAACTTCAAAATTCCACCAGCCTGGCTCTATGTCTTTGCAGTCCTAACAATGGGAATATGGGTGGCTATCTATGATCGAATACTCGTTCCTTGGCTAGCCAAGTACACGAAGCACAAACGTGGCCTTAGCTTCGAGCTGAGGATCGGAACTGGCCTATTTCTTTCTTGTCTGGCCACAGGAATGGCAGCGGCAGTAGAAAGAACCAGAAGAAACAGAGCAATTAGCTTAGGATTAGCAGAAAATCCACTATCAGTAGTGAACATGTCTGTTTTTTGGTTAGCACCACAGTATTGCATGACTGGATTAGCCGAGGCGTTCAATGCTATTGGGCAGATAGAGTTCTATTATGCTCATTTCCCAAAGAGTATGGCTAGCATTGGAGTGGCCCTTTTTGCATTGGGACTGGCTGTTGGGAACTTGGTAGCAAGTCTGATTGTGCTGATAGTGGATCATGCTTCTAAAACTGATGGAAAACCTAGTTGGGTTTCGAATAACCTTAACGAAGGTCACTATGATTACTATTATTGGGTACTTTGCCTTCTGAGCTTTGTCAATTTCTTCTACTTTATCTTCTTGTACTTGTTCGTCGACTGTTACGGGGAAGAAAAGTTCAGAGATAACAATGAGGGAGAATGCATGGAGGAAAAAGAAGAAGCAAGTGCCAAGTCAGTCAGCAATGTCTTCTAGACAGTCACGTCCTCATACGGCATCACCAAATAAGAACATGATCAAGTCCAAGGATTCTCTCAGTTTCTTGTTAGGAGTCTGTGAAGGCCGCCGAAACAAAACTCTTCAAGCAATTGGGCAGTTGTTTCCTTGAAATTTGATGGGTTCAATCAATCAAAGGAAGAATCTTACTAGTTGAGTTGCGTTCACACGTTCTAGATGAGATGTAGACGCATAATTTATTCGCAGGTTCAACTAAAAGAAGCCAAGTATCTTACTGGTTTCGATGGTTTGCAAGAGCCAAGATGGAAGTTGCATCTTGAAGCTTTTGCATTTTTTATTGGGTATTAACTTGTGTCCGACTTCTCAATACAAGTCAACTCATGCAATACCAGTAGTAACTTCTCTGGCAATACAAGTAGCGGTACCAGAGTATCAAAATATAATTATAAATCTAATTATTACCTTATTTAGTAACAATTCATGTCTTGCATTGAATGAAATACGTAATACACCGCGCTTTTCAGATGCAACTGAATTTATTTATGTCGAAAAAGAGTACAGCGAGTTAGAGGGAGCTAAACCTGACCTCTGTTGAAATAAAAAAAAAAAACAGCTATGGATCAAATATATGGAAAAAATCTCCGATTCAAACACATAACAGATCAATCGAACGAAATCATCCACACGAGACTGCCCCACATTTGTGGGATTGTGAGTGAGCTTAAGGTTACTAAAGTTTGTTGCCCTAAATAAAGACTAATGTTTACCTATTTGCATGTTGTAATAATAATAATAATAAGTAATCTACCTATTATATTAAGTGGCATCATTCAATTCGGTTGATGAGATGAGAACAGTTCCTTACCCCATTCTGTTTCTGTTTTGGGAACAAAAAGTTAAAGGTCTGTACGTCCAACATCATCCTCAAAGGTAGGAGTAGGACTGAGGAGGAGAATGCGGACTAGTTCCCATTAAAGAGCCGCTGCATTCTCTTGTCCACAAACTAGGCTAAGGGCAAAATTGAATAAGTCAAACATTACAGGTCAACGTTGAAAGAGTGGTTGGATGGACAATAGGTTAATCACGCTAGTTAACGCATCATCTAAATTTCACTTAATCTTTTTATTATGATTCTCTATTATATTTATATCTTTTTTTAATTAGTTTTGTATTTTTATTTAAAAATCTAACAACTAAAGTACATTTTAATGGGCATCTATTAGACAGATTCAAAATAAAATAATTGAGCAGGACACGAGGGGAGGGGCTATGTTGTTGAAAAGAGAATCTTGGCTGCTTATTTCATAATAGTTGGCTGGGACTTGGGAGTCTTTAGTCTCGCTAATAATAAACGAAGGCCACAGAATTATTAACAAACTATACTCGTACCTCTAAGAAACTTATCAAACTTCAAATGAATTATATGAAACTTCTATATAGCAAAAAAAAATTATATATATATATATTGTACAACTAAAACTTCTTCATTAATTTATTTATGGAAGCTATAATTTGCTTGAAGTCAAAATGTACCAAATCATTGAAACTTACAAGAAACATAAAAAAAATTAATTGGAAATGTACTCTTTGGCACGGGATCTCGAGCAAAACTCAATTAAAAGCATTTGATGGAAGGACTAATGAAATGTGGCCGTTGAAATTGTTAATGACCCACTTCACGAGATTAATTTTTGTTCATCGTCGGTGCTATTTTTTGTACTACCATCTATTAAATCTAATGATTTTTCAGAACAGATGATATACCTGTAATATGTTTTATGTATTTTTTTATCATTCATCATTAGTGCAGTTTTCATTCTCAATCAAATTGTATTGCACGATATCCACTAATTTATTAATAATATTAATTTTTATGTTATAAAAAAATTAGTTGCTTTAACAATAAATCTAGTCATCGTCTATTATTATACTATTCATTTATTTTACTTAATTCTTTCGACGAAGAAATCAGAATTAAATTATTTATTTTACTTAACTCACACCATCCCTTATTTAGAAATTTTTCCAAATTTCATACCAATGCTATATGTATTTCGAATTCTTCTACTCCGATCCTCCAAATTTGGGAAAGGCAAAATTCAAGGGCCTAACCCTAACCTCAAATCCGGTCTGTTAGAGCAATTAATGCGTTATCTCCTATTCCCAAATGTTCACACGTTAATCGGAGTCGGACTTCACGCATAGTTATCAAACCCGGTTAAGAAAGGACTATGGAGTCCGGGGAAGGGAGAATCCAAACCTCTATAAATACGGACGCACAAAAGATGTTTTTTAATTCAGTCGCACACTTTTCATTCCCAGCGCAATTTTCCTTCTCTGGTTTCATAGCAAGCTCCTCGATTCAGCCATGGCACCAATTGCAGTCGGTGATGTGATCCCCGATGGAACCCTGGCCTACTTCGACGAACAAGATCAGCTCCAGTCTGTCTCCATCCACTCCCTTGCCGCCGCCAAGAAGGTCATCCTCTTCGCCGTCCCCGGTGCCTTCACTCCCACCTGCAGGTGCTTCAACCACCCTTTCATTTGTTTATTTCTGCGATTCTGTTTTGGCCGGTCAGTGGTCGGCCGTCCTCCATGGCGGTCGTAATTTTCTTTTGTTGTTTATTTTTGGGTAATGGGTTGTGATTGCAGCCTGAAGCATGTTCCTGGGTTTATTGAGAAAGCCGAGGAGTTGAAATCCAAGGGCGTTGCCGAAGTTATTTGCATTAGCGGTAATTCTCTGTTCTTGCTACTTTCACCATTTCACTCCCTCATCTGTACGTGTAAATTATTGAGTATGTTTTCGAAACGAAATTGTTGAATTCTGGAGCAAAATCTGGGGATAGGCTTGCTCTTTTTGATCTGCAAACGTTACTGATTGTTACGAGTTCACCTAGCTTTCCAATCCCTCAAGGCAATGTTCTACCTTTTTTTATGGAGAAAACCGAACATTCGATTGAGCGAAGAAAAATAATAGAAAGATTGAATGCATATATCATCATTTCTATTGCTGCAAACTCAAAACTTGGTGGAGTGCTATGGAGTCATACGGTAACCTATTTTTATGGCATCCAATTGAAGTGAGAAACGTGTCAATATATATATATATATATATATATATATATATATTTTTTTTTTTCGTCACAAACCTTGTGGATTTACAGGAAAATAGTAAGTGAAATGTTGACGATAGATATTTTATATAGTCGCCATTGTTAACTGAATTGTCGCAAGGCTTTCCTATATATTGAGTTCCCATCAAACGTCGATAATATTCTGATCGTGGTGAAGTTGGAAACATGTGATATCTTAAATGCAAGAATCTGAGTAGCGTTATGCCATGTTGTGAATTAATTGAGTCTCCTGACTGACAATTGGGTTGGTTTATGCATTCACAGTGAATGACCCCTTTGTGATGAAGGCTTGGGCAAAAACTTTCCCTGAGAACAAGCATGTCAAATTTCTGGCTGATGGCTCTGGAACCTACACCAAGGCCCTCAACCTTGAGCTTGACCTCTCTGACAAGGGACTCGGTATTCGCTCCAGGAGGTTCGCTCTCTTGGTGGATAACCTCAAGGTGATTGTTGCTAATGTTGAAGCTGGGGGTGATTTCACCGTCTCTGGTGCTGATGAAATCCTCAAGGCTCTCTAAATTCCTTTGGATGTAGCTTATTCTGAAGTTTGAGCTTTCAGCCTGAAAATAGTAGTGCTTGAGTATACAACCGGCGCTTTGGGCTAAATATTTTGAAGATGTTTTGTGATGTGTTAAAAAGCGTATTTTTATATTATGTATTATTATTGTCTAATAAAAAAGAGCGGTGTTCTGACTTGCGTAGAGGACCGCTCTCTTGTTTATAGGTTCTTTCATTAATTAGCCGAATCTTTGACCCATTTTCTTGTTGAAAGCTCGACTCAAGCAAAAGTTGAGCCGGCCGCTTGTGAACTGAAGAACCTGAGAGAGAGAGTTGAGCATAGTATTTCTAAAAACGTTGAAGTAATTCTTGATCCCATTCACGCTTTATTTATAGACCTTTATAATACTCATAAGATTGCAACACCGCTGAATAGCAGTAGTATAAGGAAATTTAGGAGAACTGAGTTGAACTTAGCCTAGTTGTCCTGAAATTTAGAACGAGTCACATTTATAAATAAAACTAGAGGAAGATAGCCCGCAATGCATAGGAGTTTGGTGCATATGGTATAAAATAGTTTTAAATTTTTTATTTGTTGTAACAGCATGGAAAGCTAATTTTTAATAATAGAAAGATAATCATGAAAAAATTAAGGATAATTATATATTAAACTTCGTAAAAATGGATGATTGAGTAAAAACGGAATCCATAAATTTCGTTTTCTAACGCGTACTCATATTTACATGAAAGTAAAGTAGTAGGCTGTTGCATTTAGCTTGTATTGAACATGGTAGTTGTCTGCTGTAGTAGTAGTAGCTTGAAACTTGACTATTGCAACTTCCTGCAGACTCTGAGCAAACAGAAGAGGAATATCCCTAGCTTAGAAATGAAAAGTATAAGACTATCCGGCAGGAAAAAAAATGTATTTTAATAGGAAGAAATAATACATAGAAGTGCTTGTGCTTAACAATAAATGACATTGGATAGTACTACCTAATTTTTGTACACAATAAAATGATACTAAGAATAGAATCAAATCATATCGGTGAAAATCAAGGTTCGCAAGCTACTACTACCAACAAACAAATAATAGTACATTTTAAAAAGAAATAATCATCAAATACGACAAAAAAAAGTTTGGAATTCATTGTTCAACACTAAAGAAGCTAAAATTTGAAACCTTAGAAGAGGAATATCCCCATCTTAGAAATGAAAAGTATAAGACTATCCGGCAGGAAAAAAAATGTATTTTAATAGGAAGAAATAATACATAGAAGTGCTTGTGCTTAACAATAAATGACATTGGATAGTACTACCTAATTTTTGTACACAATAAAATGATACTAAGAATAAAATCAAATCATATCGGTGAAAATCAAGGTTCGCAAGCTACTACTACCAACAAACAAATAATAGTACATTTTAAAAAGAAATAATCATCAAATACGACAAAAAAAGTTTGGAATTCATTGTTCAACACTAAAGAAGCTAAAATTTGAAACCTTATGTAAAACGTGCTTAGCACCAGTATAAAGCATGAGTTTTCATATTTTATCATCTTCATGAAACTCTTTTCCTGGACAAATGTTACATAAAAAAAGGCACTTATGAAGTCATAAAGGCATAAGAATAAATTATATTGTTGTTTAAATGTCTATAGAAACTTTTATCTCCAAACAGGAAACTAAGAAAAAGAACTGAACAGAAAAATAATCATGAGAAAATTGTGTGCATGACAATGATTTAACAATCTAAACAGACAATCTAAAATAATAGGAGCTCCACCAAGTTCTCAAAAGTTAGGAGAATTTCAAATGTACTTAAAGGTCTACGAGACAATATGATCACAACGTTCAAAATTTGATCATTAGTGCGAAAATTGCAACTAAGGAGGAGAGGACTTTAGCCAACTACTTGTTTGATTATTGGAGGTAGATTTACTTGGGATTTCAATTCTTAATGATAGTTATTCTTTATTGGTTTCAACCTTCCAATCATCCACATTCAAGTCAAGTACTTTGATGAATAGCTTAAGCAAATATACAAACGAATAGATGAAAGAATAAACCTCGATACAAACTCAAATCAGTAGGACAAAGTATTAACTACCAATTCAAAATGACTTGGAATCTAATTATCACCAAGATCAATTGCATAAATGAATCGCCTTATTACCAAAGCAAACAATTAGATAAGAAATCACACCATTCAAACAATTCAATTACAGTATAAACCACACCATAATGCATCAATTGCAGTAGTTTTTTGGCTTACCTTGTTCCAAATACTCCCTGCAAAAACTTTTTTCTTATAGTTGCTTCAAATCTATTCCAACAAAATCACACCATTTAAATTGTACACAGCAACCAAATTTGTGGGAAGCAATAATATTAATACTAAATTACGCTAACAGAGTATCTAATTTCGGAATAGAAGCATTTAGCTCACAATAGAAACTATGATTTTACAAAGCAAATCATACCATAAAAAAATAATAAAAGGTCACCTCAAACTAAACCACCAAGAATAGTTTTAGCATAAAATTATATTGAAATCTAGAGTATAATGGCAGTATAAATAAGTATTTATTGAAAGATGAAAGGAACATAACGGAAAAATGTGAAGAAGAGGACATTTGAAGAAATGAAGATAAAACTGATGCTTAGTCATAAATTCCCTAATAAACGCTTTAATTGAGATGAAAATGGCATTTGAATGTCTTCAAGTTATAATAGTAAAACAATGGTAATAATTGATACTACTTGTAATTGAACTAACACAAGCCAATCAATACCTCTATAAGAACATATAAGTAATTACACCAATAAAAAAGCTATCATGGATTATAGTCATTGTAGAAAAGACAATCACATAATCACACATTCCCAAAATATCCAAATATTTGAACAAATCACAGGAACATTTCAGTAAATATAAAAATACACATGCTATCTTAACTAATACCCAACGTCATAACTACACTCAAAACAATTTTATAATTCCAAAATGCCTCTATTCTTACAATTGAAATTCAAAACCATTATTTGACCCAAACTCATTTTTATATATAGTACAAGGATAATGATATATACGCTTAGAGTTGTCGTTGATCACAAGTTGCTTGTCGCGTAACTAAAGAGTAAAATTATTATGCATTCCATCCCCCCCGCACGTGCACGAGGATCATTTAATTCACCTAAAAATACTCAACGGGTAATGATTTATTGATGATCGCATTAATGAGGTTAGTCCGAGAGATTCAACGGTTCTTTTGGGGACTGGCTAGTACCATCAGTCGATAATCTATGAGTTTGTTTGGATGAGAGAATTTGGGAAAAAAAATTTTGCCTCACAAATTCCAATCACTTTTTTATCTCATACACATCACATCACAAAAAATGTTACAATAAATATCTCAAATAAATCATCCAAATAAACTCTTATCCAAACAAACTCTATGATTCTTCCGGTAAGAATTTTCTAAAGTCTCGGGGAAGGAAAGAAAAACGGCTGGAGAATCAATTACTTGTCTAACGTCCCTACAAAGGTAGTAAAACTTCTTAGGCCAACTACATTTGCTAAACTCCTATAGTCCTATGATGAATTCCCCATCAAACTACAAAAGCTTAATACATGATTTATTCTCTGAATTTTTTATGTATTTGTAAATGGTCATAAAATAAAAGGTACAACTTTAACTGAAAGCTTTTTGATTATTTTTTCTTCCTTCAAGGGGTCATAAAGAGTGTTTGGATAGTAGATTGTTTGAAATAATTTTAAAAAATATTGTAACATTTTTTAATATAATGTGTGTGAGAAAAAAAAGTTAATTTAAAAATATATTAATGATGCAAACAAATAAATTTTTAATTTTTTTTTAGAATAACGATAATATTTATATAACCTAATCTATTCTATTATTCTACAGAAAGAAAGAAGAGTCTAAAAGATTAAATAAGTAACTAACAGATATACAGAGACCAAAAAGGATACTCCGATAATTCTCTTAGATTTTGATTTAAGCCCTCCATCTAAGGTCCAGAATTTGGTTGCCACTGGGTTAAACAAATTCCTGTTCAAACAAATCTAAAGTTTGAAGCAATAAAGTCTCAAGGACAACAACCACAATAAAAACCCAACTGCAACCCTGTATATTCGCTGCATTTTACTCCTGCAGAGCATACTAGGCACAGGCAGTATCGCTCTCGCTCTCTCTCTCTCTCTCTCTCTGTTTATTTTTTTATGCGAATAAATGACGCATTGTCGTTTCTCTCTCTGTTGTTCTCAATGTCCAATGTAATAAATCAGTTGAGATAATGACCAACACTGCCAAATCAGCGTTTGTCCCATCCCCGGCCATCCGTCACCCCTAATAAAGAAAAAGAAAGCATAAAATCATGAGGGGAAAACTCCTAATCGTACCTGATATAATTAATATTGGGTCTGTTTGCATTGTTACTTCTTTGCAAAAATTTATTTACTTACATTATTATTAATATATTTTAATAATTTTTTATTTTATATATATCATATTAAATAAAAGAGTTACATTATTTTTCAAAAAATTATCCTAAATAATCTACTAGTGTTGGACTTTTAGATACGCCAGCAAAATTAATTTCTTTTGTTCTTTAAATAAAGATGAATGGTCAACAAATTAATTTCTTCATTGTGTAAATAATTAATGGCTCTTAACCTTAAGAATCGAATTATGAATCTCATTACTGTTAAAATGAATAAAAGGTTACAACAATTAGTTGCCTAATGAAGATAAGGTGATTGAGAAACACTGAGTTTGTTTGGATAGAGAGAATTTGGTTTGCTTAATTTATTCTCACAAATTCCAATCACCTTTTTATTTTCTCAATCACCTTTTTATCTCACATACATCACATCACAAAAAGTGCTACAGTAAATATCTCAAATAAATCATTCAAATAAACTCTTATCCAAACAAACTCACTACAAAATTTTACCACAAGGAACAAAGCATTGAATGAAAAAACAAGAATTTGACAGCGGAGTTGCAGAAGTTTCTATTAAACGCTTCTAATTTTCTAACTCTTCTCTTAAATTAAATACTAAAGTCACATTTTATTTTTTTTTCCAAAATACTTAAGATAATTTCTTCATTAATAGTAAGAATTTTTACGGTGACAAACAAAGACCCGATGAGCTGTACAATTTATGTTCAAAGACACTGGGGGATAATTCATCCCTCGCTTAAAAAAAAAAATGTCTAAAACACATCAACTAATTATCACACTGCTGTCTTCTTTAACGAAGCAAAAGCAAAAGAGTACCTTCGAAACAATTCACCTTAAGCTTAGAATATCCCATTTTATGGCCTCAACAATTACGCAGATCGAAGCCATCCGCTAGTTGTCAGTTCTGGTCATTGACGTCCAGACATACGTCTAAATTCTGGTAATCAGGACCAAAATTCATCCTTTCTTCTGGGAGTTGCCGGTTTTTTAAGTGTCTTCTGGGAGTTCGTTTATCTGTTAAATTTCTCAGTTTTTTGAGAGAAGGAAAAGGACCAAAATTCATCCTTTTTCTCCTTAATTAAGGTAATTTTCTTTCTTTGTTTTTTGGCTAGAAATTAAATAAGATAGTTTTCTGGCTGTTAATTTCTACAAACTTGGTGGAGTAGCACAAATTTATGAATTGTATTTTTTATAATTTTTTATAAAAATATTACTATAACGATTTGATGTACGTGAGAAAAAATAAATAAAAAAAATATGACCACAAATATAATTTTTCGACGAAAATCTGCGATCCAAACAAGACCTTATTATTTCACCCAGGACACAACACAAGTGAATAATGCGCAGCACCCGACACATTAGCGAGCCAGATGGATCCCAGCAATGAAAGTCTTTTGGAGCCGTTTGAGAAAGGGGGTCCCAATTAACTTTTTGCATTTCAAAAAAAAAATTTTCTGCTAGATTTGAAATTTATTGAGAGGGTTGCAGACTGAAGATTGCAGTGGTGTAAGATGGTTTGACTGCTGGTACCCCCATGTCTCCTCTGTCGTTTATTTTAATGTATTTCTTGAAACTACTAACAAGCCATCCTAAAAGCAAGAGCAGGGGGCCTCTCTCTCTCTGTAACCTTTCTTATTTGTCTCTTCAACCATTTTGGGATCCTCTTCTTTTCTTGTTCTCTTCTTCGTAGTTCCTATTTCCTACCCTCTCCCCCTGCTTTCGCCTCTTGTTTTTTCAACCTTCCTTTCATTTCAAGCCTCTTTTTTCTACTTTAGCACAAAAAACTGTGGACCCTTTTTTTTTTTTTTTTTTTGGAGAATTGATAGACAAGTGCTGTTGCTGAAAGGGCTCACCGTAGAATCTCTTGTTTCAGAAAATGAGTGCTTCAAAGTTCATAAAATGTGTGACGGTGGGAGATGGAGCTGTTGGAAAGACTTGCATGCTCATTTGTTACACTAGTAACAAGTTCCCAACTGTGGGTTTTCTCTTCCTCTTTCAACCATCTTTAAGAAAGCCTTTCAATTTTCCATTTTTTTGTGCGCATTTTTCTTCTGAGTTTGCTGTTAATGGGATTCCTTTTTTTTTTTCAACATCAAAGATTTCTGATAGGATATCTGCCAAGAAAGGGGGGAAAATGTCTTTGTAGCATTTGATTCCATATTTTATTCTCACATGGAAAGCTGTAAAAATGTTGTCTTTGCCTTTACATTTGAGCTACTTTCCTCTGATTATTTAGTTTATCTGTTCAAGAGTTTAAGGGCTGACTTCATTTTTCTTGTTCTGATCTTTGATTATTGTTGAGTGCTTGCATATCTCTACCTCTTTCTTATGCTTTGGATTTCTCTTGCAGGATTACATCCCTACGGTGTTTGACAACTTCAGTGCGAATGTGGCTGTGGATGGAAATATTGTAAATTTGGGATTATGGGATACTGCAGGCATTTTCTTTTTCCACCATTAAGCTTGTGTATTTTATCTAGTGAAAACTGCGAAATTCTGGTTTTTCCGTAATGCTTAGTCATTTATCATCTACAGGTCAGGAAGATTACAGCAGGCTGAGACCTCTGAGTTACAGAGGTGCAGACATTTTTGTGTTGGCCTTTTCTTTAATCAGTCGGGCTAGTTATGAAAACGTCCTCAAGAAGGTATTAATATCGCTGACAATCACTTCTTCCAGAGTGTTTTTTTGGTGCCCTTTCGCTTTCCTTTGGCTTTTCGATTTTCTCAAGAAATTGAAATCTTCAATTTGCTAAATGCTCCCACCAAATGAGTAAATAAATGAATACGATACAGAACAGTGATCAGTGATTTTCCAACAGTTTCTAACAAGTAGCAAAGAGTGCACCTTTTTTTTTCCTAGTTTATTTCTTTTCCAGCAAGACTAACTAACTTCATGTTCTTTATTTCAATTTTCATCCAGTGGATGCCGGAACTTCGTCGCTTTGCACCCAATGTTCCGATTGTACTCGTTGGTACAAAGTTAGGTATGCACAGATTTGATCAAATAAATACTCTTCTGGTGGTGTTTATGGCATGGAGCTCTTATTAAGGGTTCAAAAGGAAAATTAATAATGTTTCAGCATGGCCTTAACTACAGATCTTCGCGAGGACAGGGGGTATATGGCTGATCATTTTGGTTCAAACATCATCACCTCCGCCCAAGTACGTGGACATTAACTGCAAAAATTTAGTCTATTCAGAGCAAAGAAAGAGCTCCTCTGACTTAAATTACGACTTGCAATACAGGGCGAGGAGCTGAGGAAGCAAATAGGCGCAGCTGCTTACATAGAGTGCAGCTCGAAGACGCAGCAGGTAAATTTTCCTGATCTAAACCTTTGGATTGAGATACCAGAAAGTCTGATGTCGTTTGTCATTCATCTAATCATTATAAAGATCCCAACAACTTAGCTAATATATGACTATTCATTAGAATGTGAAAGCTGTATTTGATACTGCCATAAAAGTTGTGCTTCAACCTCCAAGGAGGAAGGAAATGGCACGAAAGAGAAGACAGAGAAGCTCTGGCTGCTCCATCGTGTGAGTAGTACCATTGCATCCCTTTCTGTTGTTTGTTTCCCTGTTTTTCAATCTCGATAAAGAATGAGAAAATCAGGTTACATGAATTGGTATTGGAGCAGCATCCTAGCTCAAATGACAGCTATAAGAAACATAGAAAAGGAATAAATTCTAAAGAAAGAGCCTTGAGTCATACTTGTTTTGGTTCAGTTTTTTGAAACTGCCAAATTGTATGATGTAGAAATCTTTAATCAACACATAGAAAACTCAAGCAGACTGCTTGAAAGAATTCTATACTCTACTATGATCAGAAAAGATCGAAATTGTTGAAAAGATCAGATGGAATGTGGAATGTGTTTTCCGTCATCTACCATCTTTTTTTTTTATGGGATTGGAAATTTGAGTAAACAAGTGTTCATGTTATATTATACGACTGCATAATCCTGATCTTGAAGTTTCACTTTGAACAGCAGGGGGATTGTATGTGGAGGATGTGCTGCCTAATGTATGGGGCAGAATCTCTTGAACCCCCCATCAACGACAAACTTTACTAGGTGCTTTTTGGGAGCTCAATGAGAGGGCACATCCCCCAGATGGCTCACGGTTCTATAATCCTGTAGGTGCGTGGTCGTAGTAGTATTGATGTGTAGTAGTGCTAAAGCTGAGGGTTATTTATTTATTTATTTATTTTCCTGCAATGTTGTTGTTGTTGTTGACCATAGAGAAACGCCGAAGGGATGGAGAGAATTATTCATTCTCTCTCGACTAAGTACTGTGAATTACTACTACTGCTATGTTGTTTCGCGTTCCTTGGTATTGTGAAAACTCGAAACCTCGTTAATGATTCTGTTCTTTCGTTTTATCTATATATGTTGTCTCCCTTTCTTGAGCTCAGATGCATCTCCAGTTCATTTGACTTCTTCTGTTCGGACAGAGAATAATCAATCTGGAAAACAGTTTCTATACATTTATGGTTTGATTTATCTATGCTGGAATTAACTCGGCCGGAGGAGAGAAAGGGGCCCCGGGGGGGACTGCTCTGTTATATACTCTTTTCGTCTCACTTTGATAGTTCTGTTTTTTTTTTAATCTGTCCCAAATTGTAATCCACGGATCAACTGAAGCGCCAATTAAAGCCAATTAAAGCAAATGTTCTTTTTATAGGGAGCCAAATTGAAAGTTATAAATCCGTACAGGAGAGCACATTTGCGATTCTGAGCTACTGTGAGGGGAAAATTGAAATTAACTTAGAGTAGAGTTACTAGAGTACTGAGTAGGGGCGCAAGTTTGGGATCTAGTTGCTACCTTAGGTGCCTTCTACTCGGCTCGAGTTTGTGGATAATTTGGTCAAAAGTTTGATTCAAATTTGGCATTAATCAATCGAATTCAGGTCGAGTTCAAAGCTATTTCACAAACAAAATAATCGAGAGTTAGTTCGAATTTAAAAAAAAACATCGAAGCTCGAGTAGCGTATTTATAATATAATTTTAACTATTTATTATAGTATTATGAAATTTACTTGAAAGTCAAGCCGATAGAACTCCAATACTTAACTTGGTCAAAGTTCGAGTCTTTATTGAGTAGTATATTTATAATATAATTTTAATTATGTATTATAATATTATAAAATTTACTTTAAAATGAAGCTCAAAAACTCGATTGATTGCAATTGAACTTACAATTTGATCAAAGTTCGAGAGTAAGGTAAACAAAGTTGGAGCCGAGTTCAAAACTTTAAAGAATTCAAGCATTTTTTAGTAGTTGCAGTATTAATCGACCTCTGCTCGACTCATAACTTTACATCGAGTATTATTATTCTTTCCCATTTCCACCACTACCATTTGTGAAAATCACGTGCATTCCGTCAAGATCACGTGACATCTCTCTTGCCATCATCAGGGGTGCAAACGAGCCGAGGCGAGTCGAGTTTTGAGCTAATCGAGTCGAGCCTTAGCTAAATTTTATCGAGCTCGAGCTCGACGAGCTGGCAATTTTCGAGTTCGAAAAAAATAAATTTTTTTTTATTTTTTAAAAAAATAAATAAAATAATATTTTTTTCTGAATAAATAATAAAATATTAAGGATATATCCGTAATTTCACTATAAAAATAAAAAATAAAAAAAATATATATAATATACGTAATTTTATTATTAAATAAAAATAAAATAAAAAAATATATATATATATTCAAACTCGCGAGCCGGCTCGCGAGCTAACGAGCTTAATATTCTGAGCTCGAGTTCGAGCTCGAGTTTGACTCGAGCTCGTTTGCAGCCCTAGCCATCATCTACTTCCCCAGGAAAAAATTAAAAGCCGGGGAGAGAGAGAGAGAGAGAGAGACTCCATATTTTGCCAACCCTCGAAAAAAGGCATTCCATTTGGCTCCAATTTCAACCTCCAAAATCCAAAGCCCCGACCCGTCATCGCCATTCGCCCAGATGGACCTTCCTCCATCCAAGAGCTGGAGCATCCACACTCGCAGAGAAATCATCTCAAAGTATCAGATCCTAGACCACGTGGGCTCAGGCGCCTACTCCGACGTCTACCGAGCCCGCCGCCTCTCCGACAACCTCACTGTCGCCCTCAAGGAAGTCCACGACTATCAGTCCGCTTTCCGGGAGATCGAGGCCCTGCAGACGCTTCAGAATTGCCCCAACGTCGTCGTTCTGCATGAGTACTTCTCGGCCGAGGACGAAGACGCCGTGCTGGTGCTCGAGTATTTGCCCACTGATTTGTCCGACGTCATAAGAGAGGCCAAAAGGGGTGAGTGGAAGGATCAAGGGTTGAGAACCGGGGAAATCAAGAGGTGGATGGTTCAGATACTTTGTGGGGTGGACGCGTGTCATCGGAATTCGATCGTGCATAGAGACTTAAAACCCACTAATTTGTTGATTTCGGCTGATGGGGTCCTTAAGTTAGCTGATTTTGGACAGGTAAACGGTCGTTTTTTCCCTTGCATATTTGACATTGTGTTATGATCATAATATGTGTTCAGTCTACAAGTATTTAGTATACAGTACAGGAGCATATGATCATAAGTAGCGTTGCAACTCTACCCACATTCAGTAGTAGTAAAAATGGAAATTGGGAGGCATTTGGCATTTCTTTACTTTAACCTGTAATTCTAGCACAAGATTGAGCCTTGGAAGCTAAATAATAGCAGGTGATTTTAATTCTATACTAACTCAGAATATTCTGAAAACAACCATATAATAAGGAATCAAATATTCCGTCAATATGAACGTTCAAGCCAGTATTCTATGCATGTATACGAGCCTTTGTAATATTCCATCAATATGAACGTTTAAGTGCTTCTAGTCACTCATATTCCTTGTGCTTTTTTGCAGGCTAGGATACTTCTTGCCCCTGGATATTTTGCTATTGGCGAGAATTCTCAATCTCATGAGCAAAGATCTCCAAACGATGCAATTGTAGCTAATCCACCTGAAACCAATCCCTCTACAGATAGTGCGGATGATGAAGGTCAAGTGATTCAAGCGGAACCTCTAAGGAAAGAAGAAGCTAGAGGTCTATCAGACGAGCTCAGGGAGGGAGATTTCTTGGATGAAGGTGATAAAGAAAGCAATATTCCTGACGGAGACGTTTCCTGTCTTGCTACTTGTACTGCAAGTGACATGGAAGAAGATCCTTTCAAGAATTATGCATATGAGGCTGAAGAGGATGAAAATGAGGGGTTAGGCCCTCTTACATCATGTGTGGGAACCCGTTGGTTTAGGGCCCCTGAGCTGCTGTATGGCTCTACAACCTATGGAACAGAGATTGACTTGTGGTCATTGGGCTGCATATTTGCAGAGCTTTTGAGTCTGGAACCACTTTTTCCTGGAACCTCGGATATTGATCAGCTGGGTAGAATTATCAGTGTTTTGGGAAACTTATCAAAAGAAGTTTGGCCTGGTTGCCGAGAACTTCCTGATTACAAAACAATTTCATTTGGTGAAGTAGAAAATCCAATTGGCTTGGAATCATGTCTACCTAATCGATCTACTGATGAAATTCTACTTGTCAAGAAGCTGCTCTGTTTTCATCCTGCAAATAGAGCAACAGCTATGGAATTGCTCCAAGATAAGTACTTGACTGAAGAACCATTACCAGTCCCTACATCCGAGCTGAGGATTCCTTCTAAACACAGTGATCAAGATGAGGGTTCCCCTGTTGAGTGGGGTGATTATAGGGCCTTTGACTCAGATTCTGACTTTGATGATTTTGGTCCAGTGGATGTGACAAAAACTAACGAAGGTTTTTCAATTCGGTTTTCTTGAAGTTTATGGAAGTTCGTCAATCTGCCTGGTAACATGGTTAGAGCTGTTTGTCTGCGTTTGTGAAATATGGGGTAAAGCAGTAACATCTTGCTACTCATTCCCTGATCTCTTTAATTCAGTATAGCGTGCACTAAAATACACTGTAAATGCACCAGATTATGGTTGGAACGTAACCATGTTGAGATTTCCATAACGAAAGGAGAAAATTTGGCAGGGTTGTGGATTGTGCTGCCAGGCAACTAGGTAAAAGAGGGAGAAGCTCAGTTGCTTCATGACTTAGATTTCGAACATGGTCTCCTCAAAGGGTCTATATAAAACGAGTATTATTTATTTTCTGGTCTCCATCTTATCCTTCTTCCCCCTCTCTCTTGTTTCTATATATTCTTGGCATTGCATTTCTTCTGCTTAGGCAGTGTCAGAAGGAAATCATATACTTGTTCTGTCTAAGCCTTTTTGTAAGACAACTTTTTGCGAGTGTTGCATAGTATTGATGAAACAGAAGCAAGCAGCGGCTCTCATTATGCTATTGAGCAGCAACAGCTCTAACCATGCCATTGAGCGGCAGCAGAAAGATGAAGCACATGTTTGCGCTAGAGTAGTTTGAAAAGTGACGAAGCACATTTTTGCTATCGTATCCTATGATATTCACCGGACGCGTTTCAGAATCTGTGAGTTCAGCCAATGCAGGTGTTTCAGCTGCTGGTTCATGCTTGAGTTGGTTTGGATCAGAATTTTAATTTGAGAATTACAAGTTGACATTATCACATAAGAACAGATTTTGTTATCCATATTCCATAGGAGACTCTTGAGCCTCAGGTTCTGTGTAATGCTTCACAATAAATGGCTACAATGGGAGTTGGACCCCCGGAGATGCCGACGCCATCCCCAGCCCCGCAAATGGGGCAGGGACCATGGGGAGATGGCCAAGGACGGTCATGGGCATAACAAGTTCCCATCGCCACAAATGGGGTGGGAGATGGGAGGAGGCCGCCTCTGCCTCCATCTCTACCCCCTTCCGCTTGCGTTCAAGGACCGCTTACAGCCTGTACATTGTAAAATGACCATTCTCTAAATTCGTGCAACTGCTAAGGCAACAATTGCTTTACTCAATGAAATTTCATACAACTGCGGTTTGTGTACGTGCGGAAATCTGGAGCTAATATTAGGATTTCCAAGCATCTGTTCCCTCTTTTTTTTTTTTCAATTCAAGTAACTTTCAAGTTCAAAGTATGCCTCCATTATTACATTTTGCCCATAACATCAAACATACACTATAGTTAATTATATAGACCAACAAAATTCCTGCCTAAATAGTGCTAAAATTCCGCAAGCTTACACAGAGTACCAGCAGCTGGCCAATTGGGACCCTATTACACATGAATAACCATGAACCAAGAAATTATCAACCCCCACCCAGAAAGAATAGGAGCCAAACTTCCAGCAGCAGATCCCTGGCAGATTGATTTTACTAGGACCGACGCACCACATGTCTACGAAATTCCAGCCACCTTGAACGAGGTTGCCACTCTGATCTGTTTATTAACATCAAAGGAGGAAGCCAACATTATTCTGCCAGTTTAAATTGGATTCACTGGTAAACTCATGATTAAAAGAAAAGGTACCATTGTGGAAGAAGAGCTATCTCAATTTCTTGAAGCGATTTGCCTTTGGTTTCCATAACATTCCTCTTCACAAAAACCACCGCCATCAGGCAGAAAGTACCAAAAATGGAGTATAATAGCTGCGGTCCAATTTGCTCAAGCAGCGGCAAGAACATCAAGCCAACAAAGAAATTTAACACCTAAACGAAAAGCAACATCACATCATATAGCAAAAAAACTCCTACAATTTCATTTATTATATTTTGAATTTTCATTAATCAACATAAAAGAAAGATTCATAGGGCAGGCCTAACATAAAATTGCCAATGATATGCCTGCCAGGCACATTAGCCTTGATAGCTCCTTATTTGGAGGTCCCAATTTTCAAATACAGGCATGCATAATAATGAAAGAGTAGTAAATTAGAAAAATTATTACCCAGTGGACTGACATACAAAATGCCATAGCTTTTGCCCTAATTCTGCTTGGTAATATTTCTGGGAGGAGAAGACCTGGAACTGGACCAGCTCCAGTGGCAAATGTCAGGACAAACCTGCACAAACAAGTCACAAAGTACTATTTCATCCTCCATGCTGCCATCCTGATCAAATGTACTATTGATGCACTAAATCATTTAATTTCCAGAATTCTTTGCCGTCAAGTAAACCCCATAACAGCTCAAAAGCTGCTTGTGTGCATAGGCATAGCAATGTGAGAAAAAGAACCAGGACGGCAAACCCCAACCTACAGACAAAAGATAATAAATCCATTTCTCTACAGGTCAAATCTCAAGCAAGGGCATAAATCCCCAAATAAGCTGTAAAGTTTGAAATTAAGTGTCATTTGGCAACTCCACTCTACATGGTAAGTCATCCATTAATCAAATGTCTCTCAGAATTTTTCTTCTCAGCAGATACATTCAGCAAAACAGAAATTGTCTTCTCGAATACAAGTGCATATTATACTTACATCAACATGCCTCCAATAGACAAATAAAAGCTTCCAGAGGTTGATGCAGGCAAACTTGCAGCAAAAACTTGAAGAGCCATTGCTGCTGCCTGAACACAGCAGTCGAAGAGAATGATATTAGAAATAAAATCAAGGAGAAAATATATAACCTCAAAAGTCAAAAGCCAAATGAATTAAGGCAAATTATAGGTTCACAGTTCTGCAAATAATTATTGTAAGCATGACAAATAAAGTGGGAATCAGATTTATATAATTGGCAAAGACTTCTATTTCAACAGCAATTTACTTAAAACGCTACCAGAATGATGTAGTTCAAGCTTTGGAAAAAGAATGGGGTAATTATGGAATTTTGGTACCCAACTATGATTTTCAAGCAGACAAACATAATACATTACTTATTATTATTAAGATCTACGGATTCATAGAGATCATGAATCAATTACATATCAGCTTAGGAATTTCGTGACTCTCATAAAGGAAGTTGATGTGGACCTAAATCATATTACAAACAAATGATGTGCTTCCCAGGTTGCAAGGTGAACTAAACTTTCAAGTGCCCAAGCAAGTGCTTTACCATGCCAAAGAAGCTCCAAAGGAGAAGGATTCTCCTTCCCAGTTTGTCCATCAGTATAAGTGCAATAATGGAACCTGAAGAAAACAAAATATTCAGCTCAATCAACGAAATGGTATGTAAGTAATGAGAGTAAGATACCAGCTAGACATTGGATAATTAACAAATAAACATCTGTAGGAAGAGAGAGCCAGATGCTGAAAAATGAACATATACCTGTTAAATTTGCAATTCCTACAAGAACATTTGCCAGGTTCGAGGATACTCCAGCACGTCTAAATACAGTTGAAGAGAAATAAAACACAGCATTTATTCCAGATAGCTGTTGTAAAGCATATAGGGTTGATCCAATAAAAACAACTGCAAAAGGAATGAATAAATGACAAAGCACTTGATAAAGAAGAAACTAATTAATAAGAACTACAAAAGTTTTCACCAGACCAAGAAATCAACAAAGAAGCACAGATCTAACAGATACATTTTCAAAAGGCAAAGATTAAACAACTTTAACACGCAAACTAAAAGTGATACATTAGAGACATTGTATCTACCTCTGGAATGTCGACCGAGCATTAATTCGCTGAGATTTACACTATCAGCTTCATCACCTCTGTCTATCTTAGCCAATTCAGTAATCGCAGTTTTGACATGTGGAACTCCAAAAATCCTCCCAAATTCAGCTTCAGCTTCAGCGATTCGTCCTTGCTATGTCAATCAAGGGAAGAGATAAGCAACTAACAACAGAAAATGCAGTAGCAGTTTGTTCAATGTGATTAAGCAACATGAAGATATCTTGTCAGGTTACACACTTCCAGTTGGAAACTGCAGCAAATGATAGCAATAGTACAACTAAAAGGTGATAACTGTCAGAATTTATTCTTCCCAGCATCTGGCACATTACCGAAAAAAAGTTTTAAGTAACTAATCCAACTAATTATTCAGTCATGTGCTTTTGGGGCCTTACCACACAAATCTAAAAATCTGATCTGTTATCAACTCTTTTCAGAGAAATGTTCTCCATTAAATTACAACTTATCATACATTTTCTACTGACAAGATTCCATTCTGTCAAAAATCTTCTCCAAGTTAACCATCATCCCTGAGTAACTATCACATAAACCAAGCTTATGCAGAATTAATCAGATAATACTGATCAAACACTAGTTGCCACAAAATCAACATTATGTTACTGAGAAGGATTAAATTAGGTAAATGTGAATATAATTCACCATATGATTGTAAGTGGTAAGTAAACTAATCAAACAATGACCTAAAATGGACAGAAAATCAAAAGCATACGGTTTTTTAACTTTAGGAACTTAAAAATTAAAGACTGCAATCAATAGATACAGAGGCAAGAAGCAAAATAAGGTGACTAATGAAGACAATAATATCCTTCAACAAACCAGATTTCTTTCGTCCCAAAGTAATACAATTCCCTGTTTTATTCATGAAACGCACGTTATATGCTTACATTAACTCTCTAGAGACTTGTAATCATCCGGACAAAAATTAGGAGGGAAAGGATATCTTAAGCAAAAAAATATATGAATGGTAAACAGTGAAAATGAATCTAGAAAGTACACCTTATAAAGCCAATGGGGAGATTCAACACAAAACACCATGGCAAGGGCAAGAAGAGCAGCTGGTATTGTAGATATCCAGAAACAATACCGCCACCTGAGCACATATATTACAATAGCATAGATGAGACAGCAAACCGAGAACAAAGAGGTTCTTAAAAACATTGCACTACTCATTAAATGTCCTTACCAGCCAACAATACTCTTGACAGGAATTCCAACTAAAAGAGATGCCATCAATCCAAAACACGTAGCTATTTGTATAAAGCTTCCATAAGTACCCCGTACATGAGCAGGAGAAACCTACTTCAGAAAATAAAAGTAAGTACAAGAAAAGCTAATAGATAGGCATTCTGGTTTAGAAAGCAAAAACCATGAAAGAAATTATGTTAAAAACTAATATTTCCTATACCTCTGTCACGTAAAGAGATGCAACGGGTGGACCAACACCAAGTCCTATTCCAACTAAAAATCTTCCTAGAAGCATACCCACCAGTGTCCCAGTTGTCGCCCTGGAAATGCATGTATTAGTACCTTTTGTCAAGTCAAGAGCAATATATCCTCAAGGAAGCCACCCAATCCATATTGGAAGCAGCAAATAGGATTGGTCGATGCATAACTAACCATGAGAAATTGACAATATGATTTCCAACAAATTGAAAGGAAAAGTTCTTTAGAAATCTATCCCTTTTTTGTAATGAAAGGTAGCCAAATTTTCGCATATGTCAAACCAAAAAAAAAAAAAAAGGAGGCAGTTTCTAATCTGTTCTCCTTCAGATGGCCATTCCATTTACTGAACATCACCAAATTGAAATAGCTAAGTGTCATAAGATCATTTCCAGAGGATAAAGGAGTAAAGCAATAAGAGTAGGCATCTGCATGAGAATCACAGAATAGAAAAGAAAAGACAGAAGCATGGCCAAGTATATCCGTAGAAAAGCAATGCAAGAGCTAAGATCTGATATACAAATGGCTCGATATTTCATTGGTCATCCATAAAATCAATAAGAAAGATGCATAAAATAGATAGTTGAATGCTTCTATTTGACTGCTAATAGGGATCATGTATCAGGAAAAGTTTAGAATTTAATGCAAATGCACCATGTGGAAACAAGACTACCCCTGCAAACTAATCCAGA